GGATCGCACACCACCTCGCACACGCCAAGATGCGGAATGTAACCTCTTAGCGTAGACCCCACTCACTGAGGGAAAGCCGCGCCCACCGCGGGCCCTTCCTCCAGGGGTCTCCCACCGCCCAGCCCGGGGGCACGCGGACGGGGACACGGACGGTGACGTCACCTCCTCCTGGTAGATTTGTACGATCAACACGGGTCTATTTTTATGTCACCTGCACACTGTAGGCCAGTCTTTTCCAAGATCGTTACCTTGAGACAAGTCGTTGAACACTTTGTCCTATTTTTATTTGAAAAAACAAGTGAATGGGCTGACATGTTAAATGTGAATGTACGTTTCTTAATCGCAACTTTTCTACCTAGTGTTTGCACTACACTTTCTGGAATCTTAACAAAGTAAAGGAAGACCTTGCTTGACTAAGCCTGTGCCATTTTCATGGGGACCTGCCCGCCCGCGTCGCTGACCTGCAGGGCGGACCGTGATTTCCTAACACCCCCCCCCCCCCCCGTGATGACCAAGACCACGCGTGGAGCTGTGGCCTTAAGGAACGTGTATGGGCACCCAGGAGGGTGGCTGGATGGCCAGGGCCCAGGACGTCACGGTGGGGGATGAGGAACTGGACCAGGTGTGGAGGGAGGGGTCCTCCATCAGCAGGCCTGGCTGCAGCGTTGGCTGGAACTGGACTTGGCGGGCCCAGGTCGGGCCCAGGTTGGGCCCAGGAGGAGAGGAGCCTGACCGGTGAGTGGTGAGGTGGGGTGTGTCCCGGCCACACTGACCGGGACACAGCTAACGCCCGTCCCACCCCTGAGCTGGGAGCAAGAGGGGCGGGGTGTGTGCAGGGCTCACAGTGTCCTGGAGCTGGCAGGCAGGGGTGAGGCGGAGTGGACGGCCGGGGCCAGCCCCTGGGACCACGGGAACGTGGTCGAGGCATCAGCACGTGTCTGGAAACGAGGCAGAGACAGGTCACGTGACTGCGTCGCGCAGACTGTGGTACAGGTCACACGTTATTTTTAATAGCGAGGATGGAAAGACACCAAAGTATTTTTAAAGTATTTTTTTAAAATTAATTTCAGAGAGAGGGAGAGGGCGAGAGAAACATCAATGATGAGAATCATTGATCGGCTGCCCCCTGCACGCCCCCTACTGGGGGTCGAGCCCGCAACCTGGGCCTGTGCCCCGACCGGGAATGGGACCGTGACCTCCTGGTTCAAAGGTCGCTGCTCACCCACTGGGCCCCCCGGCCGGGCCCCAAAGCAGTCGTGTCCAGTTTATGCAAAAATAGGCAGCTTCCTGCTTCTTTCCACTTTTATTTGAAAAATTAATGTATCATTTTAAATTCATTTTTTAATCTCCACCTAAGGAGTGAGGACATTTCCCACTGGTTTTTAGGGAGCGGGAGGGGAGAGCAAGAGAAACATCGACGAGAGACACCAGAGGGTTGTCTCCCACTCACACCCGACCAGGCCTGGGATTCAACCTGCGACAGGTCTGTGCTCTGGACCAGCAAACCCAGGACCTTTGTCTGCAGGCCGGTGCTCTAACCATTGGGCAACTGGCCAGGGTGAATAAACGTATCTATTTTATAACCTGATAATTGTTACAACAAAGGAAAAAGCGAACAAGTTGAAAAGTCAGCTTATAGAGGAGGAACTCGCTCAGAAAATGTGCATTTAAACACACTGCCCAGGAAGTGCATGCCCACCACACGCACACGCACACACACACACACACACACGCACACACACGGGGCATCGCGGTGTCGGGGGGAGTGACCCTCCCTCCGTGGGGACCTCCAGGGAGACCAGGTTTCCACCCGCCTCCCAGAAACCCTTGCCTGCCGGGCACCTGCGTGGCCTGCTGTCTCCACCTGGCCTCAGTCTGTCTGGGGTGCCCTGTTACAGGGTGCCTCATGTTGGGGTTCCCAGTGTCGGGGTGACCTGTTACAGGGTGCCTCATGTTGGGGTTCCCAGTGTCGGGGTGCCCTGTTACAGGGTGCCTCGTGTTGGGGTTCCCTGTGTTGGGGTGCCTCATGTTGGGGTGCCTCATGTTGGGGTTTGAGGCTGGGTTTCTGTCTGACCAAAGCTTGGGGGCCGTCTCTCCTCCCTACGCGTGAGGTCCCCCCCCCCCCCCGTCCTGGGACTGTGCTGGGCGGGAGGCAGTAACCCTCTGTCCACCTGACCCCTCCGCCCGCAGGTCCCAGAGGCCGCAGGTGGAGCGGCTCCGCTTTCCTGGAGCGACACCCTGGGCTCCTGCTCTTCACCTGCGTCACCGAGTCCCCCCGGCCCCGCCCCCTCGTCTCAGGGGGCACCTCCAGGACCACACCTGGGTCTGAGTGACAAGACCTTTATCAACAGCCCCCCCTTGTGGCACAATGTGGGGGCATCAAGTGCTGAGGAGGGCGTGGGGTGCACGGGCTGCCGGGTGCAGGGGCGGACGGACGCGAGGACGGCGGACAGGAGTCGGCGG